GGTCCTTTCATACCAACATTTAACATAGCAAAGACACCATCTTACATGCTACCACTGATGAGGTGCTTAGGAGTTCGCACAGCAAAGATGATGATGAAGCCCCCTGAAATGACTGTTAGCACCTGGTGACTCTGCCTGAGATGCCAGTGCACTGGCTCTAAGAGTACCCTGGAATGATTGCGTTGGGACCCTGCAACTCAGCCTGGGATACTAGCTCCCAGCTTCTGCTCATGCACCACTAGGCTCTCTCAGTAAGCCAAAAAGTACCTAGCACTAGAGAAAAGGCTGCTCAACAAAGAACCATTTCCACAACGGATAACAAGAACGGGGAAAGGAAGCAAGAATCAAGGCTATTACATTAACATTAATTAAAATAGTTAACATTAAAATACAGCATGCTTGTTCCCTTTGAAAATCTCTGAAGGCATTATTTTTTAAAAAATAAACTTACTTGACTGGCTGTACAGTTTGATAAGCAGGTCTTATTGTCTGAAGCAAGGTAAAAGTTGGCAGGACAGGCACACATATGTGTTTTGCCCGGAGCAAGGAGGCACAAGTGACTACAGCCACCATTATTTATTTTACACATATGTTTAGGCACTATAAAAGGAAAAGAGAAAACAATTCATACTTACTAATAAAGATGGGGAAATCAATAGAGTAATTTTTCCTGCTATAGAAACCTCTGGTAAACTAAAGTAACCAATTCACTTAAGAAGGCTTTTTTGTAGTACAATTCTTGGGAATAAATGACAATGCAACAATGTCTTTACGTGTGTGTATGCACGCACACGCACACACATGAAAACTACTTGCCCTCCTTTTTATTCTCTGGATATCCAATGAGGATTTATTAGAGGCTTCTGTAAGTTCACAAGGAATCTACATGTCTACCATGAAGTCATACCAGACCTAGGCTGCCACCACCTCCATCTTCCCTATCACACCTCAGTCTTCACTACAAAGATCGACACAGCTGAAGAAGAATTGAGGTGATCATAAAGCCAATGAAGGTTGTTGGTGTGGACCTAGCCACCAAGTCAGACCTTCACATAGGTCTAGTGAAATTCAGGTGGTGAAAGAAGCAGTGGCTGTACTATTGACTCAGGTCTGGTATGACTGGAGTTCTCCAGAAACAATTTGGAACATAGAATAATAAACCAAATGTCTAGGGGGCATGTTAGTCTTGTATAGATATTTCATTAAAATTTTGAGCCCAAGTATTGCTTAATTAGAAAAAAAATGTGTTGCGCTTTGCCATGCAGAAATCTGGTTCCGGTTTCTCCAGGATGGGAGCCAGTTTTACTTCCAGTCCCATTTCACATGGGCATACAAGGACAGGAATTGGATCTCTGCTATTTGCCTTATACAGCTAAGCCATTTGGAGCGAAAGTAAGGAATGGTTTTGGCCAGTAAAGGAATGGTTTTGGACCAGACCTAGGGGCCCCGAGGATGAAACTTCCTTGGTGGCCATCATCTTGTGACCACTCATGCTGACTAGCATGGAAACATGGCACTGATGAGCCGAATGAGGCATGGATCAAGAGTAGTAGTATTACCATTCTGACCTGGGAGCCTACTCTGTAGGGCAGCCTTTATTACAGGATGGGAAGCTTTAAATAAGATGTACAGTTAAGATGTTGATTTTAATAAACCTTAGTTTAACCTGTTATGTGATACCTGCATGTTCCTTTCAAGGTATGATGAATAATTTCACTTTTAAGAGACCTTGTTTTGCTCTGTATGCAACATTATTTTACAATGTCTGTAGATATATTAATTTCATGTTTCATCATTAATTTAATTTATTTATTTATCATTGTGTTTTATATATCGCTCAGTCTCTGAGCAATAAACAGCAACAATAAAAGATATTGTATTAAAACAATTCCAATAATTTAAATAAACTAATTAAAACAATTCACAAGTGACATTAGTACAGTAATTAAAAACAAATCACAGGGGACATTGATACATCAGATTCCAGACTTTGTCTCCACCTCATAGGTGAGATTGGGTGGGAGAATAGTTGAAAAGGGGGGAGGAGGAGGAGGAGGGAGTGCCAGCCAATATGGTACTCGTCACTTTCATCAAAGGCCTGGCAGAATGTCTGCCTTGCAGGCCCTGTAGAACAACATCAGGTCCTGCAGGGCACAGACGTTATTTGGCAGAGAGTTCCAGCAGGCAGGAGCTAGGGCTGAAAAAGCCCTGGCCTTGGTCGAGGACAGAGGGACATTTTTGGGGCTAGGGATCACCAGTAGATTGCGCTCTACAGAGTGTAACGCTCTTTAGGGAACATACCAGAGGAGACAGTGCCAAAGATATGTGGGTCCCTGACTGATCAAGGCCTTAAAGGTCAATACCAGAACCTTAAACCTGATTTGGTATTCCACTGGAAGCCAGTGCAACTGACACAGCACAGGTTGAATATGTGTTGTCCATGATGTTCCCATCAGGACTCCTGCTGCTGCATTCTGGATCAGCTAGAGTTTCTGGATCAGTCTCAAGGGCAGGCCAGTATAAAGTGAGTTACAGTAGTTCAATCTGGAGGCGACCATTGCATGGATTACTGTGGCTAGGTCAGGGCGAGACAGGAAAGGGGCCAGCTGCCACAGTTGGAAAAAGGCCAGCTTGGCAACATTCATGATCTGGGCCTCCATAGATAAGGAGGTATCCAAGACCATGCTCAAATGCCTGACAGTATCAATGGCACACTGTCAAGTGTGGGAAGTTGACGCCCCAGCCGTGACCTCCCCCCCCATCACAGAACCTCCATCTTAGCTGGATTCCATCTCAGTTAACCCTTTTCCAACCATTCTACTATGGCCTCTAGACCCTTGAACAGATTTTGCAGGGTGGTATCTGGGTGGCCACCCATTAACAGATATAACTGGGTGTCACCAGCATTCTGATGACACCCCAGCCTGAAACTCTTCACCAGCGGGGCAAGGGGACGCATATAGATAATGAACAACATTGGCGAGAGGAATGCCTCCTGAGGGACCCCATATGTTAAGGGTCACCTAGTTGACACCCTTTCTTGTACTGCTACCCTATGTCCCTGACCAAGGAGAAATGAGGTAAGCCACTTCATTGCTACCCCACGGATCCCCATGTCTGAGAGGCAGTGGGTCAAAAGGTCATGGTCGACCATGTCAGATGCTGCTGTGAAATCAAGTAACAACAGCAGTGCTGACCTGCCTTGGTCCAGCTGACTGCAGAGATTGTCTGAGAGGGCAACCAGCACCGTCTCTGTCCTGTGGCTGGGGCAAAGGTTGGACTGGAATGGGTCCAATGCCGATGTGTCATCCATGTTTTTTTTTCTAGAGTGGTATCACCGAAGCCTCTTTCAACCTTGCTAGATAGACCCCTGATTCCATTGACAGATTGATAATGTCCACCAGGAGGCCCAGTATTCTCTCACCACCAGCTTTTACCAGCCATGTGGGATCCAGGTCCAAGAGACATGTGGTTGGCTTAACAGCATGCAGGATCCTGTCAACATTGGAATGAGGGAGCCAGCTGAAGCTGTCGAATACTGAATCCAAAGGAGGTCAAGGGAGTTAAGTCTCAGCACAGTGACAAGATTTTATCTGTAAAGAAGCTTGGAAATCTTTACTCTTACCTGTGTTTTACTTCCTAAGCAATGCAAAATAAAACTACTTACACTTCTTGGTAAGCAAAACCGCCAGAACACTAACAAAATGTGAGATACTGATGTGCTTGACTGAATACACATAAAATATATTTACCATCAGGTTGTCTATATGAATGATATACTTGGAGATCAGTGATGGCATGCCATGAGTTAATCAGTGATGCTTTATCTGCTCCAGAAGTTTTATGGGCACGGTTGACTGACTTGGTTTTTCCATCAGTCCAGTATACATACTCTTCAAACAATGTGAGAGCAATCACCCCTAGGATGTGTTGATTAGGAACTGCAACAGAATAACGTGACAATATGTCAGGGATGAAGACTCTTTATTACTAGTTAAAAATGTCTAGGATTTTGATTAGACACATAAACCTTGCCTATTTAGTTTTTTTTAGATCTAACCATAGTGAAGCAAATGGCTGTGATACACATATTGGAAGAATTACACATATTATTTAATGTCCCAGCCTTTTTACAAGCAGAATACTCCGTTAATTACAAATATAGCTTGTGCAAAGTCTTCCACGTCCACTTGCAGAAGATGACTCGGATGCACCTAGGTTTTATAGGTTTGTCTAGAATATATTTGGATTACATTTTGGTGTTCTTTTAGATTGTAATGCAAATTAACGAGCTATCCTAAGTTGTTATATACTTCTAAATCAATTGAAGTCCATGGACTAAGAAGAGTATAACTCAGTTTAGGATTGCACGGTTAGTTTTGTTACGAATCACCACACTTTGGTGTTCATGCACTGAGATCTTAATCCTTTAAAAAAAATCAAACACATCTGTAATAGTAACATACTTAGATTACATCTACTGCCTCAGAAGGAGCAGCTTCTCTATTTAGTAAATGCCTTTCAGACTCACAAGTTGTTGATAGACAAGAAAACACTATTTCTTCATGGGTCTTCTGTACACTCCACTGGGAAAAATACATTATGCTTAGTCAGGCAGACTGATGAGGAACTTGACTGATGTTTCACATAGCAAATAGATCTACGTTTGAATACAAGTTCTCCAGCTAACAGTTGCTTGAACATGACAAGATACTGCCTGAAGAACATAGTATGTACTTTAAAAAATACAGTGACCATGCTAAAGTATTGAGGACTCTTGTATGAATAACTGTTGTCAATGTTCCAGTTAAAGTCTAGTAAGGTAATCTTGACCATGGCCAATACATCAACTACAACTGGGTAGAAAAGATACAAATCAGGTCAACCAATATATATTTACCTACAGTTTTGCAGTAGTTCATTCCCAATCAAACTATCTTGACAAGTGTCTTATCTGGCACACTCTAGAGACTGCTAAAATTTATAAGGGTTGTTGACATTGCAATTAACAAATATATCAATGTATCTAAGCCTCAATGAGGCCAAATCTGTGAATACTTAAATCCAGAGGCTGGGGCCATTGAATGACTAGATCATTCTACAAACCTGAGAAAAGCACCAGGTTTGCTGGAAAATCTCAAATCTAAAAAACAAAAACAAAAAACAACACAAAGGGGGGGGGTAAAACCCTAAGGATAAAAAGAGCGCCCATAGCTTTAAGAAATGGACAACCTCAGAGGCCGTTGCTAGGCAACCACACCATTTTGCCAATCGTCCAGCCTTTGTTTCTGTCAGTAAAAGGTAAGGGGAAGGACAGGGCCCCTTTCAGGGCTGTTTTGGTTTTTGAGGGAGGACTCATCAGGGTCAGGCCTGGCAGCAATCACCAGGCAACAAATGAACACACTATATGTATGACTCACCGAGGACCAGCTGCTTGCTGCTGTTCAACAGCAGCCACCCCATGAAAGCCAGTGTGGTGTAACAGGGGTCATTTTGTAGAAAAAGAGGTGCAGGAGCTCATTAGCATAACTCATTAGCATACCTTATCTGCATATGCCACACACCCCGACATCACCGGAAGCTACCCTACAACAAGCATGGAAATACAGATCAAGCTAGTATTTAGGGCTGCCAAGCCACAGCGGGGGATCCGCACGTCTTCACAGGATCCCTGTCGCGGGGGACAGCGATACACATTGCACCACCGTTGCTAGAGCGATGCGTAGCATCACATCCTGGCGACGGCGGTGCAACGCGTATCACTGTCCCCCGTGGCAGGGATCCTGTAAAGACGTGCGGATCCCCCGTCGCGGCTTGGCAGCCCTACTAGTATTGCTATTTATTTTTGTGATAGTTGCTATACAAAGCCTCCTGG